CCCCCCCCCGCCAGCCAGATGCTCCTGGCAACTCTCGGGATGCCAAGCTCCGTTTCTCTTCTGCCCAGGACCCACCAGGCCCCCGGCGGGCCCTGGGGCCGCCCCCTCCTCCCCTCCCTTCTGCTGGCCTGGCAGGAGAGGCCGTGGGAACCAGGGCCTGCCGCGACTCGGGAGGCTGCCGCAGGAGGGTGCCAGGAGGCCGCGAGGGCCCGTCTGGGCTTTGGCATCCATTCAGCATGAGCTGGCAAGCTTTGCCCGAGTGTGGGAACAGCCGCCCAGCGCTTCCTCCTCCCTGAGGGAGTGCTCACCTGAGCGAGGGCAGCCCCGGCGCAGTCTACCTGCTCCTTTAGGGCCCTGCTTCCAGGTCCCAGGAGGGACTGGAATCCGCCTCCAAGACTGGCAGGGCTCTTGGGGCACAGGTGGTGGCCTTCTGGCTGGACAGGGCTGCTTCTGTAGGGCTGGGGAGGGGCAGGGAAGGAGGGAGGGCGCCAGGGTAGAGTCTGTACCTTCACTGCTTCCTTGGGCTGCTCTCAGGGGGGTGGGGTGGGGGGCTGGGAATGAGCTGCTAGCAGAGCACTGGTGTTTTTTTCACACACACACACACACACACACACCCCTCCGCCCAAAAGGGGCAAAGGGCAGCCAGAAGGGGTCTGCTGGTTGCAGCTGGCCTTCCCCAAACCCAGGTTATCCATCGGGGGGGGGGGGGGTGGGGGGGGGAAGGGCTGCGGCACCAGGCGGTTTGGGCCAGCTCCCCAGAGCAGAGTTCAGCCCAGGAGCCCAGCAGCCAGCCAGCCTCTTTCCCTGTGCCCATTAGTCACACATTTCTGGGAGATGTCTCATGTGCTTTCACACACACACACACACACACACGCATGAGCCAGGCCTTCCCGCCCTGGTGGCTGGATGCTGGGATCTTCCAACCTCGGCTCCGGTTTCCCCCAAACAAGCTCCACGCCCCGCCCCCCCCCGGACTCCCGGGGCCCCTGGCACTTGCTCTCATCGCTTGCCCGCCCCTGCCCTGTCAAAAGGGCCCGAGCAGATAAACCGCAGAGAGGCGTTTCCTTGGTCCCCGTCTCTGCAGCCGTGGAGTGGGGGGTGGCGGGGGCTAAAGGAGGGTCTCACCTGAGGAGGGCCCGGGGAAGGGCCAACCCTCACCTGGGTGTTGGGAAAGCAAAGCTGGGGGCTAGAATCCAGGGAATCCATTGGGACCCCTGGGATGACTGCTCAGGCCAACCATCTCAGGGGTCCTGGAGTCCTGGAAGGGGAGCCGCCTCTCAGAGAAGAAGAACAGGGCTGGGAAGGTGGGAAGTCATGGCAGCAGAGCGGGGGAGGACTATGTGTGCCCCCTCCAGGGGGGAGAGAAAGCCCCCTCCCCAGGCCCTCCCCAATCTGGAGGCTGCACCGCAAGCTGAATCCGGAATGTGTGTGTATGCGTGCGCGTGCATGCAGAACGTGCAACACCTCCATCACCCCGCATTGCACAGCGCTGCCTGCCCGGCCTTCCAGAAGCCCCCTTCAAACACCTGGAACAAGAAAGCAGGCCCCTTCTCTCGCCACGGGTGCTGGGCAGCTTGCCTTCCCATGTAGACTGCCTCTGAGGTTGGAGGCCCCCTGCAGCCTCCCAAACCAACTGCTGTCCTTCCCCCTCTCCAAAGCCTGGCCCTCCTTTGCTGGCCTGCCAATCCTGCCCCTTCTCCTCCCGTCGTAAGGCAAGCTGACCGGAGAGAGTGACCAGAGCCAGGGCTGCTCCGCGGTGCCCTGTCCTCTTCCCACCTGCCAGAAAGCGGGGAAAGCCAACACAAGGACGCCCTTTAGAAAGCGTGAGAAAGGAAATACGAGCGAGTGCGAGCGCAAGCGAGGCCCAGGAGCAACGTAACCGATCTAGCGGAAACAAAAGGCCCCAGGAGGAGGAGGAGGAGGAAGAGAAAAACCGGTTCCTCGCACACAAGGTGGAACCAGCCGGGAGCAGAGAAAAAAATGCCAATAGGCCGACTGGACGTCAAAACAGCCGGGATGCCACCGGAGCTTCCTGGCTGCTCTCGGCCCAACAGCCGGACGACCAACGGGGCCCATCAGCCACGACATCCGCCTCCTGAGAAGGCAGCGGCCCACAAGGATAGGGGAGGCACCCGGGGCCGGGATTAGACCACCGCGGCCATCCAGACACGCACGCAAGCTGGGGTGCATCCGGGCCAAAAGTGGAGGTGCTGATTGGGACCGAGAAGAGGGGTGGGGATTCTGGCCTCCAGGGTAAAATGGCACCCCTTTGACTGCAAGACCACGGTGTGTGTGTGTGTGTGTGTGTGTGAGGGCTCTGGTTGTGTGGGGGGAGAGAAAGAGAGGCTGCCACGTCTGTAAACAGGCCTCCCCCATGAGAGAGGCAGCAGCCAAGGGGCGTCGAGCGGGGGGCGAAAGGCGAGGTACACCCCCACACCCGAGGCGCCCCTGGAAAGCCTGTGCACCCCAAAAGGCTTGTCCCCCCAGAATGGAGAGACGGGACACAAGGCAGGAAGGCGGCAGCCATTTCCTGGAGGCTGTTGCCGTCTTGAAAGGTTGCCCCCACCCCCATTCGAGACACCTGACCCCAACCCCGCCACGGAGCTCCCCGGCTGCCCCCCCGCCCCCCGGCCCCGCAAACAGCCAGCCCTTTCCAAACTCGCCGTGTCTCGAGGCAGAGCCACCCGAGGAGCTAAGCGCGGCTCCCGCTGAGAAGGCCGCCCCACGGCCCTGGCGAGAGGGCACAGCCCAGATGTTCCCAGCTGTTCCCTCTCCGCTGGGCTGGGCCCGCTCCACACACCCTTTCCCAGGGAAGGCGGAGGGGGGAGGTGGGCTCAGCCTTGGTGCTCCCCTCTCTTCCCGCTGCACAGCAGCCCCCTCCCCCTGTTTTTTGCAGCTGCCCTGGCGGTCAAGAGGGGCGGCAGGGAAGGGCCCAGACGTGGCCTGGGTGGCTTTGGGACAAGCCCCCCCCCCCCCGGCGGTCAGCCCAGCCTACCCTGCCAGCGTGTCGTTCCCTGCGGGAGGGAAATGGAAGGCGGGTGATTCCAAGACAAGGAAGCAAACTCAACCGGCATTCACAGCACGTACATCCCCCCGCCGGTCTCCTGCCCGGCCCCCCAAAGACATCCCCTCCCTTGGCAAGGGAGATCTTGGTGTCTCTTTGGAAGCCCCCAAGACCAATGCCATCTCCAGTCCCTCCTACAACTTTGGGGGGTCCCTTCCACGCTGTGGCTGGACTCCACTGATCCACCCCAGCCCTCCTTCAGCAGTGAACCAGAAAGGGGGTGGCTTGGTCAACACGTGTGAGCCGGGGAGGAAAGGCCTTCCCAGGGGATGTGCAAGGGCTGGCGGCTCCCT